CTGTCGTCTCTGTACACTTCTCCAAATATCGCTCCTTCATGTAGCTGTCGTAACTGCCCTTTATCTTGTCCCCTGCCACAGGGGAAGCCACAGACCACAGGCAGTAGTAATCCTGCGTGTACGGTTTTTCTACACACATAGCCACGCTGAGCTTGCATACCCACAAAGAACCAGTGTCCCTTGGGCGTAGCTGAGCACAAACGCTCTGCTGCTGTGACCGTTGCTCTGATGGCTGAGGTGGCTCCTGGAGGGTGGCAGAGCACGCAGCAGGGTGGGCTGGAGAAAGAGTGATTTGTGATCACGCTCGGACAGAGTGGGATCCACGAGATGTCTTCACGCGACTCACAGCGGCGTGAAATGTAAAACATGGGAGTGTTTCCAGAGTTTGGACTATGGTTGACCGTAGATAATGGAAACCGTGGGAGGTAAACGGTGTGTGTGTGTGTGTGTGTGTGTGTGTGTGTGTGTGTGCGCGCGTGCACATGCACGTGTGTGTCAGTGAACACTGTGTGTGCACAGTTGTGTATCTCTTGGTCCTGGCAGGAAGCGTCTTCAGCATCAGCACTTCCCATTGGACTTTTGTGTCCTTTCAACACCTCCTGCTTGAAGCGATCCCAGTGCTTCTGTAGGTGAAGCTGTGTGTCTGCGCGCACGCACACGCGCATTTGTGAGAGAGGTCCCGTTTTCTGCGGTGTGCTGTGTCAGGTGTTGGGGATGGTGCGATGTCACTTCACCCACACAGTGTCCTTGTCCTCCCCACGTGGCAGTCAGTGTAGCTGCTTTGAGACATATTACATAATTCCCCCTTCCACTGTGGCCACGGCAGCCGTGATATAGGAGTTCAGATTTTTTCATTGCATGTTGTTAGTGTGTATGTGTGTGTGTGTGTGCGTGTGTGTACATGTGCATGCCCATGTAGAAGAGTGCAGATTGCAGGAGTCAGTTCTCTCCTCCTTCCATGTGGGACCCGGGGATTGAACTCACGTACTTAGGCTTAGTGGCAGGCACCTTTCCTCACTAAGCCATCTTACTGGCCCAGGTTGTGAGTTTTGATCCATGTATGCAGCTGCCTTGTTCCCCATGTCCCTCCCCACCGTCCAGCCAGCGTCTTGCATAAAACACCCTCAACATGGACTCCCGGTTCTCTCACCCGTTGCTCTTGTGTCCCTTTCCAGGCAGCCCTGTCTCTCCAGTTAGTCACCCTTGTCAGAAACCTTGGCGGCATCAGGCCTCAAACCCCGCCTCAAATACACCAAATTGTCGTCAAAGCCCCGCTGGCTTTAGAACACACACGGGATTCGCCGTAGTCTGCCTGTGCTGGCCCCGGTCTGAGCCACCCTCTCTCCTGCCCTCCTCACCTGCTTCCTCGTACCCACATCTGCACCCAACAGTCTCTGCTCAGCCTGCTCAGAGTCAAGTGTTCCCCTGAAAGCCAGGCCAGCCCTTGACCCCAAGCCCTCCAGTCCTTTCCTGTCTCTTCGGTCACGGCCACAGCCCCTTGAAGAAGCCTGCCTTCTGCCCTGTCCTGTCCTCACACTGCTCTTCAAGGCCGGTCACACGTCTGTCTCCAGGCTGTGACCTTGTCCGTCTTTCCTCCTGGAATGTCCTTACCCCAGGCCATCGTGTGGTTGCTTGTTAGTTCTCATTTGTGTCTCCTACCTCCATTTTCTTGTGTGGCACTTGGCACATTGTAGATCTGTTCATCTCCCTCCAGTCAGTTCTGTGACAGCAAGGGTGTGTTGTGTCTCCAGTGGGGTCAAAGCTTGGACCTAGAACAAAGCTTGGTGCTTTGTAGATGCTCGTTAAGTGCTGTCTTTCCCAGTGAGAGAACAAGTCAATCAGCACTGACTCCCAGCGTGGCCTTCACTGGGCTCCCATCCCACATGCATTTGGTGTCGGGCAGGTGGGGTCTGGGTGGTCTCCACGGTCTTGTGGATAAAGAGCATTTGTTGGTGTAAAGGTGATCTGAGTGCAGGGACATAACAAGTCGCCTCTGTTGTTAGGTGACGTGTCCTGGTAGCAAGTGGGTGCTTATAGTTACCGGGGCATTAATAGACAAGCATCATTTGAGTTCATCGTAGCCATTTCGGAGATAGTGAGCCGTGCTGAAAAGTGCTTGTTTATTTTAAACCTCTCTTCTCCCGTAGCGTCAACTGCAGTTGAGGATTACTTTAGGATAAAACCAAATTATTCTGTTCTCATTCTTTGTAGAGAAATGGGTACTTAAAATTTATCATTATTTTTATATCAGAAAGGTGTTTTTTTTGCCTTAGTTCAGGGGCTGGAGAGATGGCTCTGAGGCTAAGAGCGCTTGCTGTCCTTGCAGAGGACCCAGGTTCAGTTCCTAGCATCCACATGGTAGCACACAACCATCTGTAAGTTCGGTTCCAGGGATCTTACACCCGCTTCTGAACACTGCATGCATGTGGTATACATACATACATGCAGATACGTGCGATATACATACATACATGCTCGTACGTATAAGCTAAAAATAAATAAATCTTAAAAAGAAATAGTCTCTTAGTTCAGAGGAGTCTCTGTGTAGTCAAAACTGTCCCATCAAGTACGTATTTACTTGAGTAGTGGCAGTCTGTTTTCTTACATTTTTCAGTCTCACACCAACACAGTGATTTGTCACATAGATGGTGGAGGTCCCATCCAGGCCCCGACCCCTCGGTTGGCGTCCTCGGGCTGCTCCCATCTGCTGTAGGATAGACAGGAGGGTCTTTGCCCCCGCCTAGCCGGCTAAGTCGGCTTCTTGGACATGGGGAGGGATTAGGTATTGGGGAGTGCCCTTTGCTACAAAATCAACAGTTAAAAAGTGTCAACAAAGGCGCAGTGGAAACACCTGGTGAGTCACACCAGCTGCTCTGAAGCGGATACTTTTAAAATGTGTGCTGTTGAGGGAAACACTGTATCTACTCTCGGAGTGCTTGCGTTGGTCTCTCTAATGCCTCTTCCTCTGTACAGCAGGCTCTGCCCTACGAGGGTTTTGACACATTTCTTGTCTTCTCCCTACCCGCTCCCATCACGCCTCTGGTCTCCCAGCTGCCCTTATGCTCTGTGTTGAGTTTGTCAACCTCTGCCCCTCTCCAGATTCCTTAACCCTCTTTGATCCATTCATCCCTTCTGAAATTTCTTGCAATCTTTTTTTAAATCTTCATTTACAACACACTCCTCTGCAGTCTGTACGGTTCCTTCTGTTGTGGTCCTAGGTTCGCTGTGCTCCTGGGAGCAGGTTGAGCCGGAAGCAGTGGACTACCACACATGGGGTCGATGGTCACCAGTGGTACTGGGGGGGAGTTGGGGTTCCCTCTTTTGGGGTCTTTGTCTTGTTAATAAAATAATTTAGAAACAGCCTCAGCGGGACCCTCAGGGATGGTTTTATGATTGTTTGAGAGAAAAGCAGCAGGAAGTGGTATGTGGGGGATGCTCAACCATCCTGTCTGTGAATGAACGGAGGGGAGATGTTTAATATGTGTTGTCTGGTAGGCCTTTTGGGCAAAGTGGCTGAGGCTTGGGAAGGGCAGCAAAGCTGTCTTTGCAGAGTGACGCCAGAGAACAGCTCGAATGGGGGAGGGGTGGGCAGCATTTGGTCCTGGGATCTGCTGCCCCCCCCCACCGCTCAGCCTCCCAGACCAGGATGTGGTCCCATGAGGGTCGGAAAGAGGGTCAGGCAGGAAGAGAACAATGAGTCTCCCCACAAGGAGATGGAAATCTCAGGCCATTTGTGTAATCCTCAAGGGCTTGAAGGCAGAAGTGACAGGCAGCCTGTGTGCAGGGCAACCTGGGGGATTAAATAGGCCGGCTGGGCAGTGATTTCCTAGGTAACCGTAAGCATTGGTTTTTAAGGGAGCCAAGAGAAATCCTTCGCTCTCAAGCACAGGGAGTTGGAGAGCAGCCCTCATCTGACCCTGCCCCTCGGAGCTTGAACTCTCAAGGGCACAGTTGGGACCCTGAATCCAGAGTGAGAGGTAGAAAGCAAACCCTCGTGCCCCATGTGTACACACTGTAAGGCAGTGCCTCCGCTGTGAGCAGTGTGGAACCTCGCTGCATGGAGCCTGAGCCTCTGCTGCTCATGACCAGCTGGCCCTGGGTGTCCAGCGAGGGTGATTCCGTGTGGTCCCTTTTAGAGGCTTTGAGAGGATGATGCTGTAAGATTCCTAGCTCCCCCAGCATGCAGAGCACACACTCTGCCTGTTGGCAAGTGTAACTTCCGATTTTATTGAAGTTTTAGAAAGTTAAATGACCATCTGAAAGCCGATGCTGTGAGGGTGGGGTGTAACACAGGGGTGGGGTGTAATGCAGGGGTGGGTGTAACGCAGTACAGTTTTCTTGTTTGACTGATTTGATTTTCTGCTACAAGTTAGCCATTCAGTTAGAATTCTTGCAAGAGTAGGAGAAACGCTGCTAGTTCTTGTAATATGTGCAAAACAGTTTCTCTTGTCTTAGCAGACGCCAGGCTTCTGGGTTCTGGGTGGCTGGCATCAGCGTGCCCTGCTTTCAGCATGGAGATGGCGGTCTGCCCTTTTCTTCTTCTTGGCTCCGCCCTCTTACACTTCTCACCCAGACTCCTTTAATTTTGCTCATCCCCCCTTCCTCAGGCATCCTCTCTTCTCTTTGACATTCACCCTTGGGCAACAGGCCTGGGAGGTGCTTCGGGAGGCGCTTAGTCACACCCTGGTGTCCTGGCACTTCTGACCACAGGCCCTGGTCTTAGGGAGCTGGCTCACAGAAGGTTGTTTTTAGGCGCAGGGCCCTCTTTTTACTTGGTTTTTCAAGTCACGGAGAAAGAAAGCCTGGATTTCTTCTCTCTTGCACTTTCTGAAGACAGGAAGCCCCTGAGTTGCTAGCTCTTAAAAATCCCCCGCGAGTTTTGGATAGGGTAGAAACTCGAGGGATTTATTGTCGTGTAAGCAGGGTTGAACCTGTGTCCTGTGTCGTGCATGTTGTTGTGACATCCTCCATTTAAAATATCTACTTTTGTCTCGTCACAGCCCAATGATGATCATTACGCAGAAGATCACTAGTCTGGCTTTCGAGATTCATGACGGTAAGAATCTGGAAGTTAATTCCTCATCACAGAAAAGAACCTATTCGAATAATCTTTGGTTTGAGATATAGCCCTAACTCTGAAAGGGAAGGAAGGAAGGAAGGAAGGAAGGAAGGAAGGAAGGAAGGAAGGAAGAGACAGTTAGCTTTGTTTAAGGTTATTAAGATGTTTGTCACCCCCAGCCCCATGTTTTCTCTTGATTTTTAATTCAGTTCAGTGATAAAAAGCAAAAATATATGACCCATATAAAGGACCTTTGGTCTAAGTCAAGTTTTATACCTAATTTTATTTGTCTTACATTTATATTGAAATTTGTATGCTTCTCCAACCTTATCCCTTTGTGTTTACACCCAGACATATACACACATGTTTTCATAGACTTTTAGTATGCATATGTACCTATTTTATATGTTTAATAAGTGGATATAGGAAATGCCAGCAATCAAGACTCCTTGGGGTGTTGGCTTGGGTTCCTCAGGGGTAGGAGGGACAACTCTGTCTGTCCCTGCATGTGAGTCCCCCTAATCCTGTACCCAGTCTCTGCATGTGGGCAGGACGTAGCCTTGATGGTTCTGGGGTAGGGGACAAGGACGAGTTTTCCTCCTCTTCCTTTCTGCTACTGGCAAGCACAGTTACCTACTTCATTTTCTGGGGACATGGCCAGAAGGAACAGATTTCCTCCTCACGGTCACGGGTCCGTGTTTAATTCCCCACGTGTTCAGCCACGGCTCTCTTTTCTGCCCCTCGGGAGCAGAGCCCCTCCTGCTGGCCACGTGCTTCTAGAGGCGGTGACATGTTAGGGTGAGGCCTGGGGTGGCCTGAGGAGACCCACACTCCCCTTCTCCTGCTTCTGCTTTGGGTTTCTCATTTCCGTGTTCATGGTCAGACCCTCATGTGTGTGTGTGTGTGTGTGTGTGTGGGAGGGGGGTGCTTTGGTGCACTGCAGTTCACGGCCACGTCGTGGAGCTCTTGGATTCCAAACAGTGATGTGGGCAGACATTCTCAGACCCTGACTCCGCAGTCGTGAAGCCCATGTCGTGGATGCTGTGGATCAGAGCACCCAGTTGTCTGTATGTAGGTGCTGAGACCCACATGTCACGCTGACAGGTCCCGCCTGGGGCTCTGGAATGAGAATCCAGGAACATCATGGGTCAGGCATGTCCTTCTGTCTGTAGGTCTAGAAGCCCCCACTGGCAATATGTCTTAAACTCAGGACTGAAAGTACTCCAGGGCCCTATTTTGTTTGTAATCTGGTCTTTGAAATGGATCTAGCAAGCAGGTTTTGACTAGCCTTGCCATGTTTGAAGAGTTCAGATTCTTTAGCTTTGCGTGGGACTCCTTCTGTGAACTGAAGCATTCCATCCTACCAGACATCCCCCTGCAGAGCAGCTACCCTCCACCTTCTGCTTTAGGACTGCGGCCACTCTTCCCAGCCTCCTGCTTCCCCAACGGCTCTCACAAGGGAGGACAGCGTTGTCTGTATTGAGAGCTCTAAGCTCATGCTTAGCTTAGTGTCAGCATGCAGTGTGTCCCTGACTAAGGTTTGTTCTGATGAAGATTCTAAACAGTGAATGACAGAAACGCTTGTGGTGAGGTCCAGAAGAAGCCAGGAGCAAGCCTCTCAGAGTCCCCCGTCCCTCTACCCCCCCTCCCATCCCTCTCCCCCTCCATCCCCCCACAGAGGCATCAGAGGCAGCACTGGATCCCCAGCTGCAAGTATGGGGATACCTGGGATGAGTCTTCTGCCAGGAAGTCCATTAGACTTGGGTCCCAGGGTGCTTGCCAGGGCCTGAGCCAGTAGACACCCGTGCCTACCAGGTGTCACAGTTACAAATTCCTGATGCGAAAGCGGATGTTGAGAATAAACCATGTTGGCACAAACAGTCCCAGCCTAAGGAACACTTGTCTCAGTGTGGGAACTATGTGCCAGCCAAGCTCCGGGCACCAGCCCTAGGTCATGCTTGCAAGCAGGCCCCACTGACGGCAGCAGTGGTAGCGGGCCGTGTGAACTCTGGGCAGTGGGTCTTGACCTCTCCCATGGCTGGTTTTTAGCTACAGTGGCAGTATTCACACCAGCAGCTTCGGGAAGCAGATGTTTTGTCTCGGATAATTTCTAGGCATGGTGTTGAGACATTATGCTCTCCTTACCGAATGCAGCCTCCTCCCCTGCTGACGTCATGTGCAAGAGCCTACCGAGGCCAGAATGGCACAGCCTGGCAGTGTGTGGGTCATGGCGTCTGATATGTTCCCTGGTGGGCGGGGGAGGGGTTGTTCTGTTTGGTTGGTTGGTTGGTTGCTGCAGCCTAGCTGGGTGCTTGTACTTGATAAGGGAATACGAGTCTGACTTCTACCTTAGGCTGAACTGTACCAATTTTGTCTTAGTGCTAGTCTTCTAGCTTAAAACACAATATCTTAATTTAATTTTTTTAAAGATAGTCTATTTCTGAGTACCCAAATTTTTGAACTGAGGAGGGAGGCTGGGCTTGTACACATAGACAAAATTATTCTATAAAGATGATTTCCTTTAAGTGATAGTTTATTTTCCTTGGTTGGATTGCAGTTTAAAACCATGACCGCCTCCTAGGTCAGCGTAGCAGGGTACACTGGTACAGACACCCCACACCACACCAAACACTTAACAGTGCTGCGCAAGGGGCTGGGGAGGTGGCTCGCGGGGTCAGAGCATGCGGACCTGAGTTCAAATCCCTGGAGTCCACCAAAAGCTTGGCATGGCAGCATACACCTCACCTGTGATTCCAGTGGTGGTGGGACTGGAGACAGGAGGATCCTGGGGCCTGGTTGGGTGGTCAGTCCAGCCAGAGTAATATGTAGGGTCCCTTAGAGAGCCCGGCTCCAAAAAAAAAAAAACCATGGAGAGCAGCAGAAGAGGATGCTGACATCGAACTGTGGCCTGTCATGCATAATGGAGCATTTCTCACACAAAGAAATACTGAAGAAAACACAACAAAAAAGCCGGGCAGTGGTGGTGCACACCTTTAACCCCAGCACTCAGGAGGCAGAGGTGGAACTCTGTACTTTCAAGGCCAGCCTGGTCTACAGAGCGAGTTTCAGGGCAGCCAGGCTACACAGAGAAACCTTGTCTCTAAAAGAAAAATTAAAAAACAAACACAATAAAAAGTATGTAGCAAAGCTTGGCGTCACAGATGACTGCCATCCTGCTCTTTGACTGGTAAAAGGAAGGGAGGGAAGGATGGAGGGAGGGAGGGAGGGAGGGAGGGAGGGAGGGAGGGAGAAGGTTTTCAAGAGAGCACTGATGAGCTGCCTGCCTTTAATCCCAGCACTCAGGAGGCAGAGGCAGGTGGATTTTTGTGAGTTCAAGGCCAGCCTGGACTGCAGAGTGAGTTCCAGGAAAGGCGCAAAGCTACACAGAGAAACCCTGTCTCGAAAAACAGAGAGAGAGAGAGAGAGAGAGAGAGAGAGAGAGAGAGCGAGAGCGAGCACAGGTCCTCATCTCCTTAGGTAGCCATAGATCCTTTGGAAAGGGTCGGTCCGTCTACTGTGGGGAACAGAGCTGTTGAAAGTGGCAGGAATCCTCTGAGCTTCTCCTGTGTTCTCCTTTTAAGTGGGATTTGTGGGTTTGGTTTTGTTTTCTCTACATAATCCCAAAAAGTAGGTACATGGCCCTTGAAGGAAACTTGAAACTATAAATAACTCTGAGGAGAAGGTGAGGCATCGCCTCTGGCCAAGCTCCCCTGAGAGTCAGAGCCCCTTCTCAGTCACTTGACCTCTGTCTTTTTCTTTTTCTTCTTCTTAAAAATAGATCTGTCTGTCTGTCTATCTATCTATCTATCTATCTATCTATCTATCTATCTATCTATCTATCTATCTATCTTTGTGTGTGTATGAGTGTTTGGCCTGCTTGTGTCTCTATCACGTGTGTGCTGTGACTGTGGCGACCAGAAGAGGGCACCAGAACCCCAGGGACTGGAGTTAGAGACGGCTGTGAGCCCGTGAGCCAAGGGCGTCGGCCAGTGCTGGTAACTGCCCATTACCTCTCCAGCCCGGTTTTTCTTCCCCATTGTTGCCAAACTAGATAGTCAATTACACTCCCTTCCCTGACTGTTGAATGTGTAAGTGATTCTTTTGTCATTATGTATGAGGTTGTGACGGTCCTGGTCATAATTTCAGATGGTGTTCTTGATCATTCCCTTAGACTCCGGGGTCTAGGAGGAGAGGAGAGAAACATTCCTCGAGTCTTTGCTCCGTGGGTTTACAGAACCATAGTGTGGTCCTTCATAGCCTCCCTCCTCACAGACTCCCTCCTCATAGACTGAGGGCCTCACAGCAGGGGTCTGTCTCCTCCGCTGTTTCTCAGAGTGTCTTAAGGTGGTTGTAATTCTCTCATCTTTGTCTTACGTACATGTATCATCCATTCCAACGTGTGTTTGTTATCGCTGAGATCGTGCTGTGTAAGTGAGCGCCTCTAAAATTTCTGTGTAGAAGTGCCGGCTTGTTCTTTTAACAGTCTCCGGTACTTGTGTTCTTTGTTGATGGTGTCCAGGCTGACCTTGAACTTGACATCTTTCTGCTTTGGCCTCCCGGACAGTTAACTGATCATGTCTTTGTAATTAATCATGAAGTTAACAGTTTGTATGTTAGTTGCTTGTCTGTGTTTCTTTGTACCTTGTTTCCCCTGGTTGCTGTCTCTGTTTATCTCACTGTCTTTTTTTTTTTTTTTTTTTAGTCTTTCGAGACAGGGTTTCTCTGTGTAGCTTTGCGCCTTTCCTGGAACTCACTTGGTAGCCCAGGCTGGCCTCGAACTCACAGAGATCCGCCTGGCTCTGCCTCCCGAGTGCTGGGATTAAAGGCGTGCGCCACCACCGCCCGGCTATCTCACTGTCTTTTAATGGCTTCAGTTTCATGTCTTTGGGCAGTGTTATGTTTTGTTTTCTTTCCTACAAACGCTTTCTTAGTGTATTGTTTGCTTCTTAATTCACTTTCCCTTTGGTCTTTAAATTGCATCTAGTTTCTCTTTTCTTGTTGTTTAGTTATTAGTTATTTAGTTATTGGTCTTTAAGTTGGATCTAGTGTTTATTCATTTTTTTTTTTTTTAAGCCTGTGGATCTGTATGTTGGTGCTTAGCTGTAGCAATAGCCTCCTATTGGTGGGTAAAGACGATGTGTATACTCCTGTTTTTATTCACGGCGTTGTGTTGAGAACCAGGGCACTATCACTGCTCTGGGGTGAGCTACTAGTCCATGGCATTGAGACTTAGTCATTGAAATCCTTAGGGAGTGTTAACGCCTCTTTTTGAAAAGTCATAGCACTTTCTTTAAGGATAACAGGTCTGTAAGTTAAAATGTGTTAATTTGAGAGATTTTTCTAGTTGGATAATAGTTTCCTTCAGACTGGTAACTAGTTACTTTCATTTCCCTGTACACATTAAGTGTATACAGGCCAGGGTGGGTTGGAGCATATGATGATTCAGGTGTTATTTAATCTGTGTCAATATGAGAAAGCAAGAGGCAGTCATTGGGCTGAAACATGGAGTCTAGCATGAATTTCACATGAGGCAAGCGCCATTCTAAAGAGAAAACATAACTCACAAGCGTGTCTCTTTCTGGTTCTCAGGGATGTTTCGGAAGGATGAAGAACTGACTCCCTCGCAGAGGGGATTAGCTGTGAGGTATGTGTCTTTGTATCTGCCATGGTTTGTGTTTCACCGGTTCATGGAGGGTGGCCTTCTTCCCTCTGCGCTGCTGCCGGCCACCACGTTGTGCGGGGCTAGGCTGCAGTCTCTCCGGGGTTCCTAAGTCCATTGCCTGGACCTCTGTACCGTGTGTGCCTCCTGTGAGCCACGTGAGGCTCACCAAGTGTCACCTCTGTGAGGCTCTCAAAGACAGATGGTTTGTCTGCAGTTGTAGTGCCTCTGCTGGTAACAGTAGCCGTCACTCACAGGACGGCCTCTTGACAGCAGTGATTGGGCCAACGTCTTTTTTTTTTTTTTTTTTTAGATTTATTTATTATGCATACAGTGTTCTGCCTGCATGTATCCTTGCAGGCCAGAAGAGGGCGCCAGACCCCATTACAGATGATTGTGAGCCACCATGTGGTTGCTGAGAATTGAACTCAGGACCTCTGGAAGAACAGTCAGTGCTCTTAACCTCTGAGCCATCTCTCCAGCCCTGGGCCAATGTCTTAACCCAGCACACGGCGCAACACAGATGTTATTATTTGAGGAGTTCATTCGGTCACTGTCTTCCTTTGCTCTGCTTCTCAAGAGTGGTCTAAGGAGAGACTTGGTTTTCTGGCCAAGTCTTTTTCAATCTAACACAATTAAAGAGGAATTATACTCCTTTTACCTTTAAAGAAACCACTTCCTTTGTTGTAGCCTGTTTCTAAATACAGAATTAACAGATGCATGGCTGCTAGAACAGCGGTCCTCAGCCTGTGGGTTGTAATCATGAAAATACATCCTGCATACCAGATATTTGCATTACAATTTATACCAGTAGCAAAATTACAGCTGTGAAGTAGCAATGAAAATAATTTTATGGTCGGGGGTCAGCACAACATGAGGAACTGTATCTAAGGGCCACAGCATCAGGAAGGTTGAGAACCATTGACCTAGAAGAAGGGGATGATGTTCATGGTGGTGGACAGATGTGTACCAGTGTTCACCCTTTTACCCCCTTTAAAACATCTGCACATCTTCTCTGGGGTTCCCCGTCTCCTGAATGGCCAGTCTTCATACAGCAGTGCACAGCCAGTGAATACACTTACCTGACAAGTAATCAGACTGGTTCTTGACTTTTCCCTGGCCTTGAACTACCCAAGACACCGTCATATACAGACATGGGCTCTGATTCCCCGGTCCCTCTCAGGTATATGCCTAGCAAATGGCTGGTCCCACTTAACTTCAGCTCTCCACCTGCTGAACGGTGGAAGGAGGCCAAGTAGAAAGACACTCGCTCTTGTTGGCTGGATTCATCTTGAATTTTTTACTCTATTTTTAAAGTCGTGGTCCTTGGGGCTAGAGCAGTGGCTCATCCGTTGCTGTTCTTGCAGAGGACCAGGTTGGTTACCAGCACCCACATGGTGGCTTGACACCAACTGTAACTCCAGTTCCAGGGGATCTGACACCCTCTTCTGGCTTATTCAGGCACCAGGCACACACGTCTACACACACATGCACGTGGGTAAAACACTCATACATTCAATCCTTAAAAAAAATTCATGGTCCTTCGTATTGACAGCAAAGCAATTACATTTCCTTAGTTCTCTCTCTGAAAAGATTTTAGATTCTCCTTTCCCCAGAGTTGCAACACTTTCTCCCCTGTCCTCATGATGGAAAGTTGAATTTCTTTTCTTTTTTCTTCAGTAGTGGTAAGTTCTTTATTAAGACGTCTTTCCCTTTTCCATCCACACAGCACGTGGGTTACTGTGTGTCACCTGACAGGCTTGAGTGCATCCTGTTTCTCTCCAGCTCCCGCCAATCCCCTGCAGTCCCGCAGCCCATTTATAAAATAAACACATAGACTTTTATATTTTTTTATAAACTGTATGGCCGTGGCAGGCTTTTTGTTAACTGTTTTTATATCTTAAATCAACCCGTTTTTATTAATCTGTAAGTTGCCACATGGCTTGTGGCTTACCGGTATCTTTACATGTTGTTTGTCATGGCGGCGGCTGGCAGCATCTCCTGACTCAGCCTTTTTGTTTTTAGAGGTTTTTTTTTTGTTTGTTTGTCCTGCCTATAGTTTTTGCCATTTTATTTATAGGGAATGATATCTACAGCAGCATCCTGACCCCCAGAACAGCCCAGGTAAACTCTAGACCAGGATGTCACCAGGGCAACCTCATAAGATGAGAGAAAAAGCTGCCTGTGGTCACCTGCTGGGACTCACTGCAGAGGACAGCCGTGCACGGGGTTCCTCGCTCTGTGTCATTCTAGAGTCATAAAACCCACCAGAGTCCCTGAATCTGTAACAAAATGCTTCCTTTTCTAGTTCTGCGTTTTAACTGCCCATAATTCCATGTAGGGCTGCTGGCTTCTCACCTTCGACCTTAATCAGGTTCATTTTGTTTCTTCCTCTTGGCGGGGTCATCGTCAGCTTTTCAGGAAGAGGATTATATTGTCACACATTTCCTTCTATCCACGACCCTCCCATCATCCTTCTTCTCCACGGTGGCTCCACCTCTGATCTCTGCTTCCTCTTCTCTGCCCCCTGTGATCAGATCTGTTTCCTTTCTTCTTGGCTGCCCTCAGCCTTGTTGGCATGGAGATCAACCACAGCGGCATCATTGGTCCAGCCGACAGCTCCTCACTGGATTCCTGGACACCACATTCCTTTGCTTTTCTTCCTCTCTGCCCTCCTGCTCAGCCCTGTGCCCCTCTCCTGTCTGACTGACTGTGGCTGTACCCCAGAACTTAGACCTGGACTTCCCAGCTTTCCCCAGGTGCTTCCGCGTGGAGCTGCGCATTCCTGCTCAGCCCTCTCCCTCCCCTCCAGCCTCAGTGTCCTCACTTGGATAGCAATAGGTCTTTTCAGAACACAGCCCCTAATTTCTGTCCACCCCATCATGTGTTTCTCCAACACTGCCACTGGCTGGCTGGTAACATCATTTCATATTGGGGGCTGATGGGGAACATAAGCAGATTTCATTTTCTTATTGCAGGTCCATTCCACTAGCAAGTCCAGTGAACTTTCAGTCGTCTCCAGTCCGGCTACTTCTCGACACACCTCTTGCCATCCTGGCCCTCTAGAGGTCTAGGAGGCTGCTTGCAAGAATGCACTTGATTCTTTTCCTGCTCTCTGTTGCAGACTTTCTAGGTTGGGTCCAGCAATCGTGTGTGTGTGTGTGTGTGTGTGTGTGTGTGTGTGTTTGATTTTCAAGACAGGGTTTCTCTGTGTAGCCCTGTGTGTCTGGGAACTTGCTCTGTAGATCACACTGTCCTCAAACTCAGGAATCTGCTTGCCTCTGCCTCCCGAGTGCTGTGAATAAAGGTGTGCGCCACCACCCAGCTCCACCTTGTTTTTGAGACAGGGTCTCTCATTGTACCTGAAGCTTTCCATCTTGGCTATTCGGGCTGGCCAGGAAGCGGCTGGGATCCTCTTCCATCCTTCCTGCCCCCACATAAAACTGTCTCGGGGTACAGGAATGAGTTCGTCTTCTCACTTCTTAAAGAAGAGTTTGAAAGGCAAACAAAGCCTGAGTTTATTCAAAGTGTTATTTTGTTAGAGTTTAAAGAGAACCTGCAGGGCAGGCAGCGGTCAGTCTTGGCAGCTGGGGTGTGGGGAGCAATGCCATTTGAGTTACGTGGGCCTGGTAGGGAGGCGAACTCCAGAAAGAGTCACCAGCAAAGGCATACTCAGGTTCTGGCCAGCCTCTGAAAGAGAAGGGGAAAGGAAAAGTTGAACTTTTATCAGAAAGCTGGATAGACCCAAGAGAATCTCACAGTGGCGAGGGATGGGAATTCTGGGAAGGGGAAGTACGGCATCTAATTAAAGGGGTAGTCATTCTGCCTGTCTCTTTAGGGTGGTGTAAGGGGAGCCTGTCTTCCTAACATGGTGCCTTGTTGGGTGACTGACTACCCAACTGGGTAACTCCTGGATGTTTTTGGTAGCTTCCAATGTTAGGTCTCTGCCCAGGCCAGAGATTTCACATCTTGACCAGAAGGAACCAGTTTTCCCTTTATGGACCTTTACTGTGTCATTACCCCTCGAAGGAGGTAACCCTAAAATCATTTGGGAGATGGGCTCACATTGGGGAGCTGATAACCCATGTCACTAGAGAAGTTGAGAGCTCTACTTCCAGTGCTGACCAGAGGGGTCATTTATTGTCTGGCCCGGCATTCTGGTCCCTACCCTGGTGTACAGCTCCAGGCAGGGCTGTTGGCTTCTGAGGAGATGAGGAGCCAGTGCTTCCTGCCAGCGTTCCTGGCCGGAGACCCAAGGACGTTTCTGGAACGTTTGCTTTTGAGTCCCTGCCCCGAGCTGCCTGTGCAGCGTCTGGCTTCTGTTTCTCACTGCACACAGGTGTCATAGGCGGCTGGGGCCAGGCCCAGCTTCCAGTGTGAGTGCTCAGACTTGACCTTGCTTTACGCAGCAAGTACTCTTACCCACTGGGCCGTCTCTCTGTCTCCAGAGATCCTTTGAGTAGGATTTCAATTGTTTTAGTCTTGTTTTTGTTTTTTAACCCCTCCCCTAATTAAAAAAAAACCAAAACTCCTGGTGCTTTCCTGTGTAACTTCCAACCACAGCTCTGAAAGAGTTCAGAGCTCCATACTGTTGCCTCAGTTTACCTATTCTTCATCTTGTACTGGTGTGGGAGAACAAGGTTTCTTTTTGTAGGTCATGTTGACCTCAAACTTGCCAACCCCACCCAAGGCCTAGTCTGATAGGTGTGTGTGCCACCACACCCAGCCACTGCCTCTTCAGCTCTAACCACCCATCTGAACTCCAGCCCTCTGCCCTGCCCTGCTTTCTTCGTAATGTGTGTATTGTTTTTCTCAGTCCTCTCCCAACCCAAGAATAATAAGGTCCTAAGGCTGAGAGCCTTGTCTGCTTGCCATTATGTTCTCGTCTCCTAAATCGCCGGTGATTCTTGCCCCGGGAGACATTTGAGCGTGTCTGTCTGGAGACATTTCTGAGTGTCAGAGCCTGGAAGGGCTGACAGCTTGTAGGTAAAGGGCAGACATCTTCCACGTGCAGGACAGTGCTCTGCAGCATAGAAATACTGACCCTCAGCCAGGAGAGGCCGAGCATGCCCGACCGACCGACCTAAGGCGACACACAGTTGATGTCAGCGGGTAGAACAAATCAGCGGGTCTCTCATGTGGCGAGTGAAATAGTGGACTTAAGTATCATAGTGGTTTACTCCGGCCCCTCACACGGCTTGTTTGATAGTTGAACCAAAACTCTCTTCAGTAAATTTCATGACTGAGAAGAATGTTCTCTCGTGGGCACCATGGTGCCTGCCTGTGGTCCCAGCACTTAGGAGCTGGAGGCAGAGGGACCACGAGGTCAAGGTCACCCTCTGCTGTGCAGCGGAGTTTGCGATCAGCCTGTGCAGCTTGCGACCCTGTCTCAGGGAAAAAAACCGGAAATGAAACAGAGAGGGGAAAAGTTTGTTCCAGGCCGGCGGTTCACACCTGTGACCCCAGCCTTCAGGAGCCTCAAGTAAAAGGCCAACCCGAACCACAGAGCTGCCCAGACGGTCCCAAACAACAAAAATGGGCTGGAGAGATGGCTCAGCACTGAAGAGCCCACACTGCTCTTGCAGAGGACCCGGGTTCAGTTCCACAGGCTCACATTGCCTGTACTGCAGTTCCGCAGGATCCATGCTCTCTACTGGCCTCCTCTGGCTCCTGCATGCTGTGGTCTACATTAATTTATCTCAGGCAGACACACACACACACACACACACACACACACACACACACACACACACACACACACGATAAATAAATAAATATTTCCTAAAGCCATATTGAAAAAAAACAAACAAACCACAAACACCATCACCACCACCCCAAAAAAGAAAGAAAGAACGAGAAAGAGAAATACTAGGAAAAACAGATGGAGTTTAGATGGAGTTTCCAGTTAGAACAGGGAATGCTGTGTGATCTGTCGATCCCTTCTGAATAACAGTAATTCCTGGTATATGAGGATGCTTGCTTGCCTTCTTTGTCCACAGACTATTCTCCCAAGGAGACTGCTCGTTGTGTGCAGGGGAAAGAGGCCTCCAGCCTGTCACGGGGCTGCTTGCTGTGCCCAGGTGTAGTGCTCTTCCATCTCCAGTAGATGAACTACAATGCCCGCTAAACAGTCCACACTGAGCCATCTTATCAGGCCTTGAGATGAAGGAATTAGAACTGTTTAGAGACATCCTTGTTTCCTCTTCCTCTCGGTCCCCACAACTGGTCCATCAGCTGACCCCACAGATGCACTGTCAGAGCCGCAGGACATGCTGCTCCGGCTCCTCCCAGGTGTCGTCTGCTCTTGTCCCGTGCCTGGTCTTTGTGCCTCCGCTGCCCACACACCGGGCCAGAGCGGTGTGCAGTTTTCCATCTTACTCAGAATGAGCTTACAGATTCTGATGTGGCTTGGAAGACAGGCCCCGCGTGATCGTACCTCAGTTAGCAGTCTTTCCTTTGTGTGTGTCTTCCGTGTCATGTTGTCAACCCAGCTGTCACTGAGGGTACGCCACCTGCGCCCCCATCACTCCTGCTCCTCAGTCCCTCATCACCTGGGTCCACACAGCTCTTAGTTCTGTTGAGCTTCTGCCCACATGTGCTTCACCAAGGAGGCTTCCCTGACTTCTTAACGTAAAGAGGCCCCTTTCTCTTTGTGGCATTTAGCGGCTCTGAAGATTACATATATTATCATAAGATTATATTTCTGCACATATTTAGTATCTATGCACATATACCTTATGTATATATGAAGTCTGTTTTAGTCTGTATTTTACTGGAGTATAAGCTCTATGCATGCGAGATTCTATTTGCTGACTGCTCTGTCTGTAGACCCTGGAGCTTGCTGTCCACATGATGGGCACACAGCATGCAGTTACTGAATGAGCAGGCAAGTGAGAAGTGAGCGATGATTCCTTATGCCCCATCACGGTCATCTTGGGTTCTTTCGCTACAAGAAACCTAAGTGAAAACCCTCTGTATTTGCTTCTAAGGATCTGTATGAAAGCCCCCTACTGTTCCATTTCACTTCTGTAAGATATCTTAACAAAAAGCAACTTAGGGGAGAGAGCGGGTTTACTTGGCCCACAATCCCAGATTGTAGTCTGTTTTAGGATTTCTATTACTGTGATAAAATACCATGATCAAAGCACTTTGGTGAGGAAAGGGCTTGTTTTAGCTTCCAACTCTCAGGTCATGCTCCATCACCAAGGGATGCCAGGACAGGAACTCGAGGGAGGAACCTGGAGGCAGGAGCTGATGCAGAGGCCATGGAGGAGTGCTGCTTACTGGCTTGCTCCTCATGGCTTACTCAGCCTGCTTATACACCCAGGAGGAGCAGACCAGGGGTAGCATTGTGCCCAATGGGCTGGGTCCTCCCATATCAATCACTAACTAAGAAAATGTCCCTCTGGATGGCCAACTGATCAGTTTTATGGAAGAGTGTTCTCAACTGTGGTTCCCTCTTCTCAGATTATTCAAGCTTGTATCACATTGACAAAAGAAGAACCAACCAGGACATGGGTCACCATCGCAGAGAATTTACATGGGCAGGGGACTCAAAGCAGCTAGTCATGTCATCCCACAGTAAAGGGCAGAGAGAAATAAATGCAGCGACGATGCTCGCTCTCAGCCGGCTTCCTGCTGAGTTACATCATTCAAGACTCCTTTCTTAGGGAACAGTGCTCCCCATTGGTGGGCTGGGTCTACATAAACTAACAATCAAGGGGATCCCTCTCATAGGCCAGCCTGATCTACAGACTCTTCATGGAGACTCTCTTCCCAGGTGAGTGCAGGTTGGGTCAAGTTGAAAGTTTAAAACGAAGTGGTGCACCTATTCAGAAATGCTGTTGAGAATCAGTCCATACTGCTCCCGGGTTCTTATGTAGATCCTCATGAAAATAAGGTGTCTTGTTTTGGAAACGGCAGCGGTAGTGAGCACAGGACTGCTGTTCCTGTGGCTTGTCCCTGGAAGCGTCTGTCACACCTCACAAGTATGTCTTCTCATTACAGGCGCATGCCAAGTCTCCTGGAGTATGTAAGTTATACCTGCAACTTCATGGGTATCCTGGCAGGCCCTCTCTGCTCTTACAAAGACTACATTACTTTCATTGAAGGCAGGCCATCCCACATGTCACAGGCCAGTGAAAATGGAAAAGAAGAGCAGCAGCATGAAAGAGCAGACCCGTCTCCAAACGTAAGGGCGCGAGATTCACCCGGAGCGCTGTGCTCGTCTGTCCGGGTCTCTAAAAAAGTCTAATGCCTTCACTTGTTGTAATTTCCCCATTGATTTCTTTCTTTTTTCTTTTCTCCCTGTGTGTGTATGTGTGTGCGAGAGTGTTGTTAGAAATCTAAATGGTCTTTTAATAAAAAAACCTGGTACCAGATATTGGGGTAAATGCTGAAAGATCAGAGAGACAAAGGAACAAGCCACAGCCACCACCTCTTACCTCACCAATTCCTCAGTCTGAAAAAACTTCTAGTTCCTGTCTCCTCACACCGTATATACCTTTCTCTGCCCAGCCATCACTTCCTGGGACTAAAGGCATGTGTGCTTCCTAGGCAAAGGCATGAGATCTCAATTGCTGGGATTAAAGGCGTGTGACTCCCAAGTATTGGGGTTAAAGGTGTGTGCCACCACTGCCTGGCTCTATTTCTCTCCTAGACTGAGTCAGTCTCATGTAGTCCAGGGTGACTTTGAACTCACAGAGATCCAGGATCTCTGCCTCCTGAGTGTTAGGATTAAAGGTGTGTGCCACCACTGCCTGGCCTCTGTGTTTAATCTAGTGGCTGGCTCTGTCCTCTGATCTTCAGGCCGTTTATTAGGGTACACAGTCTACCACCACATGAGAGTGCATGTGGGTGTGTGCATGTGTGCCTGTGTGTGTGTGCATGTGGTGTGTTGTTAGAGATTGAACCCAGAGCCTTGCAGGGCCTGTATTGCTAGTGTATTGAGGCAAATAATTCTAACACTGAATTGCATCCCTGTCCTCCATTCCCATTTCTTGTTTTCATTTTTTAAAAAAACATCTATGTACCTGAGTGTATCTATGTACTGTGCTAGGTGGGTTCCCACGGGGGTCAGAAGAAGGTGTAGGATGCCCCAGAGCTGAGGTTACAGGCAGTTGTGAGCTATCTGAGGTGGGTTCTGGGTACTGTACTCCGGTCCTCTGGAGCAACAGAAGTAGTAATCACAGAGTACCCCTCCAGCCCTCTTGCTGTCGGGAAGCTACAATGACTTTACTCTGAAGCCTGGCCTTGAACTTGTGATTTTCTTGTCCCCTCTTCCCCAATTACATGTCTGCACCACCTGCCGGCTTCCATCTATTTCTTTATAAGTATCTTTCACTGGGCGGTGGTGGCGCACGCCTTTCATCCCAGCACTGGGGAGGCAGAGCCAGGAGGATCTCTCTGAGTTTCAGGTCAGCCTGGTCTACAGAGTGAGTTCCAGGACAGGCTCCAAAGCTACACACAGAGAAACCCTGTCTCAAAAAACCAATATATATATGAATAAAATCTTTCAGGAAAAATAACTCTTTCTACTCTACCGAGTTGTGAAGTCTAGTAGAGGCGAAGTCACGATTAAAGAACAAACGTGAGTTACTTGGAAAACCGTGTAAGCGGCTGAAGAGATGGCTCAGTGGTTTAGAGCGCTTGTTGCTCTTGTGGAAGATCTGGCTTTGATGCCCAGCACCCACATGCTGGCTCACAATAATGCGTAACTCCAGTTTCACGGGGTCTGAGTCTCTCTTCTGACCTCTGTGAGCCCCAGGCACACACACATACAGTGCCCATGCAAACGTACAGGTAAACATTTGTACACATAAAATAAATAAATATAAACTTTTTTAAAAAGAAAGGAAACAAATTCCTTAGTGACAGTAATGCTGTCCAATGGTGGGTCTTACCTGGTGGGTCTCACCTCATGGCCTTCTGTCTTCCTGATCCACCACTGGAAACTCCAGAGGCTCCTTTCCTGGTTGCATTCTCTTCCTAATGATGCTAGTCAACATCGTGCCCACGGGGCTGGGGAGATGGCTCAGTGGCTAAGGCACTTTAACAAGGCATGAGGACCATAGTTTGGATCCCCAGGACCCCATGTCATGATAGGGTGTCACAACCTGCCTGTAATTCTATCCCTGGAAGGCAGACACAGGGGATCCCCACAGCTGGCTGTCTAGCAAGATGAGTCATATCAAGGAGTTCTGGATTTGTCTGAGAGACCCTGCTTTGGTGATTGATATTAATGAGGTTGACAATATGCCTGTGTGGGACTGTGAGGATCTGAAATGTCCAGGGCGTGGTGACTCCTGAGTTTTGATCACGAGCAGTAGGGTTTATTGCTGCTGTATTAAGGATCTGAGTGTGGCAGTGTGTAAGAAGTACGAACAGAGTCTACCAGGTTTGTGACCTTTGCCTCCCCCTTCCAGGCAGCAGTTACGGAGAAGCTCCTAGTCTGCGGACTCTCTTTATTATTTCACTTGACCATCTCCAACATGCTGCCTGTGGAGTACAACATCGACGAGCATTTCCAAGCCACCGCATCGTGGCCAGCCAAAGCCACCTATCTGTACATCTCTCTTTTGGCTGCCAGACCTAAGTACTATTTTGCATGGACCTTAGGTAAGTCGCATGTAGACTCGTCCCCGTGCTGAAGTGTGTCTTGTAGATCTCAGGCAATGTCCTAGGGCTTTTGGGTTTGTTTTTCTGTGACTATGCCTTCTTGTACCTGCTGGCCTCAAACTACTGAGTGCAAGCAATCCCACTGCTTCAGCCTTGCTAGTAGCTGAACCTACAAGCACCCCACAGCATTCAGCTCAAGAGTGCCCTCTTGAGGATATATAGTTAAAGACCAAGTAGAACAGTCAGTCATTTTGCATAAGAAACAAACCCCCAAAGTGCATGAGCAAGGCCTGTTTTATTAGAAGATAAAAATCAATGGATAGTTGAGGTGATCGCAGGTACTTATCTCAGTGCCTGTTGTATGCTAGGCTGTGTGAGCTTGATTGAATACTAGCGTGCATGGCATAGTCCCTGTCTTCAGGGTCCCTGTAGTTTCGAATGATTTGATTGCACTTATCATTATGACACAGATACGGTTTATTATGACCGGAACTTCAGTAGTAAAGTGTGCCGAACCACATCAGTTCCCGAAAGGGTTCGTGGCGCCCGCCAGGCATTTGAGTGTTAGAGAAGGGCTCTGTGCCTTTGATGTTGAAGGCGTGGGCGTGCCTGGGCTGTGACCAGTGTAAGATGGGTCTGGGGAGGAGAGTCTCTCAAGGCCTCCCCTGTACGGCTGCACAAGCCTCAGGAGGCTCCAGGCGATGATGTCATGAACTTTATCTTCGAGATGTTTAGCATTTTCATGTTGTCGCCCCGCGAATCTTCTTGAATGTAGCAACAGACTACATGGTCTAAACAGGTCATGACCCCGCCCATGTCTCGGAGGGTGGACCGAGGTGGATTGGAGCCTGTTTTGTATGTCATTTGCCCTCCTCACTATGTCACAAGCCTCTTTATTCTTAAGATGGTGTCCTGTTTGCTAAGTTGATGTGATACTCAGTGAACATTTGGATATCTACAAAGAGCACACCACAGAAAGGCTGAGTAGTAGTTGGTGCCTGGATTTGGCTGCTGCCTTTATTTTATTATTATTATTATTATTTTTTTGCTGCCTTCATTTTATTATAGTGAAATGTAATTCAGAACTAGAGTCCATATTTTCAGACTTTCATGCAGAAATGCGTCAGTAAAAGTGACTGCTAAAGTCACTAACAGGCTACTGTTAATTTAATGATAATAAAAGATAATATTACCTTGTGAGAATTTGATTGTTTTGAGACAGGATCTCCTTGTGCATCCTGGGTTGCCCTCCATCTCCAGGCCCTTCCTCAGTCTCTGGGATGCTAGCAATGAGAAGCTTGCACTATTATGCCTGGCCTTGTGTGGGTTTAAACTAATATTTCCTTAGTACTATTTTTATACTAGCCAAGTTTAAACACTGATACTAAATGAGATTCCTTAAGATCCATGTATACTTTTCAAAATGCTGACTTTAACCCGAGGGAGGCTCTGATATTCCAAACCAATTTCATATTTTTAATTTTTTTTAATTGTTGTTGATGTTGGTAAAATGGCTTCCTGGGTAAAGGCACTAGTTACTTGCCTGATAACCTGTGCTCAGTCCCAGGGACCCACATGTTGGAAGGAGAGAAGCAGCTCCTGGAAGCTGTCCTCTGACCTCTGACCTCTACACATGCTCTGTGGCATGTGAGTGCCCGCACACCTGCCCATATGTACCTACAACAACCCCCACCCACCAGATAGATAGATAGATAGATAGACAGACAGACAGACAGACAGACAGACAGATAGATAGATAGATAGATAGATAAATAGATAAATAGATAAATGTAATAAATTAGGCTTGAACCATTGGATTAGTTAGGCCACTAGCTGCAGGAATATGGTCTTCTGTACCCATTTGGGTTGTTGGCAGCCTTGTGTGGGGGCAGTGGGGCTCTTTTTATGTTGTTAGCAGATTTTAATCTTTAATCCTATTAAGCCTGCACATTACTATATTGATAGCCATAAAGGCTCAGATGTTTTGGCCCTTCTTAAACCTGACAGAAGGGTAAATCTCTATTGCTCACTTTCCCCCACACATTGTAATTTTTGCTTAATCAAATAAATAATAAGGAATAAACAATTTAAGGGTAGGATCCTTGTCTATGAAGGTGTGTTGTTTTGCTGCATTTTGATGGGTTTCTGCTAGTTTGGTCAAGACACGGATGGTGTGAATTAGAGACACTCCCCGTTGGTTGGGAAGGACCCACTGGAGGCAGAAACTTCCCATCTTGAGCAGGTTTGTAAGCAGAGATGCTGATGGAGCGTCGTGTGAAGGGGTTGAAAAGCAAGTTACTCTGAGCGAAGAAGGAAAGAGATGGAGGCATTAGCCCCCTTGTGTTTCTGTCTGTAATAAAGGCCAAAAGGAACATGCTGAGCTCGGGGCAGAAGGTCCCAGCAGTGCCCTCCAGATGGCTGAGCACGCTCCACCATATTCGAACGTTGTACCCCAGCATTTTTAATTCCTCCTGTCTCCTCATGCTTCACGTCTGGTGTTTTGTTAACTAGCTAGCTGTCCTTAATAGGGTCATTATTTTCACAGAGTGTGATAGTTTCTAACCTTTCTTAAAAATTAGAATAAGTCAGGCTGGAGAGAAGACTCAGTTGTTAGGAATGCTGGCTGCTGAGTGGTGGTGGCACATGCCTCTAATCCCAGGGGAGGCAGAGGCTGGTGGGTCTCTGTGAGTTCAAGGCCAGCCTGGTTTACATAGTGAGTTCCAGGACAGCCAGAGCAATAGAGAGACCCTGTCTCAAAAATAAAAACAAAAAATAACAACAATAACAAATGACTTCTTGCTCTTCAAAAGGATCCCAGTTTGGTTGCTTATATCTACCTTTCACTCCAGCTCCATGGGATCCAGTATCCTCCCCTGGCCTCCATGGACACCTGCATACATGTAGCATGTACAAAGAGAGACATACACACAATACACATTTATTTAGAATAAGTCATGGATTATGGTTGTAGCTCACGAGGAAAGGGCTTGCCTAGAAGGCTCAAGGCCCAGGGTTCGATCTCTCAAATACTACTAAATAAAAAGTCAACGTTTACTGTTTAAGAGTAAGACACTGTACATACCTTCGGGGAAAACAGAGTAGATTTGAGGGGCGGGAGCATGGCTCAGCAGTTAAGAGCATCTGTTGCTCCTGCAGAGGATCCAGGTTCAGTTCCCAGCACCCACGTGGTGGCTCACAAACATTTGTAACTCCAGTTCCAGGGGATCTAACATCCTCTTCTGGCCTCTGAGGGCACCAGGCATGTACATGGTACATATAGCATGCATGTAGGCAAAACACCCAGACAATCTTAAAACAATACAAAACATATAAGTGTGTGTGTGTGTGTGTGTGTGTGTGTGTGTGTGTGTGTGTGTGTATACTATATATTGTATCTACATTGTAATAACATTTCTAATACTTTACTTTGTGACAGCTGATGCCATTAACAATGCGGCAGGCTTCGGTTTCAGAGGCTACGACAGGAACGGAGTGGCTCGTTGGGACTTGATTTCCAATCTGAGAATTCAGCAAATAGAGGTTAGTAAATGGTTAAGACGTTAGTTATGCGACAATTTAAATGCCACAGTTTGCTTTCCCAGGCTACGGTGCGCTCTCCCGAGAGTGGTGCTGACGGGTGTTGACCTTTTATTTCATTTTATTTCTCTGTAATAGAATAAAGAGTTTATTTGGGCTTACAGAAGGTTAGCGTCTGTGATGATGGAGTGGAGACATCCTGAGAGTGAAGTAGGAATGGCATTTGTCTTAAAACGGTTTCAGTCCGCCTCCAGTGACGTGCTTCCTCTAACAAGACCCCCTCCCAAAACTCCCAGACAGCACCATCACCTGGGAATCGAATAGTCACGGGCATGAGACCATGGGGGACATTTCTCACACGTGGAGTGATGTTTATTTTTATACAGAGATTCCTGGCTGGTCAAGGTACTGTGAACAAGTGACTGTTGGATGTTTGGCATTCAACTGGATACCCACGCCACCGCCTTCAGCCTCATAGAAGAGGGGGTGGAAAGAATGTCAAAGCCAAACATGGGGAGGAGGACCATGACGTAATACCCCAACTTTCCCCCATATTTACTCATGGTGGACCACTCCCCGCCTCCCACTTCCCCCAAGGGGATTCAGTGAATGAGGCTGGTGACTTACGGGTCCTCAGGAAGCTGTGGAAAGTGCTGGAAAGTAGGTTCTGACCTGGAAGGTGCAGGCATAGGGTGTCTGTGGATCTGTAGTCTGTCTTAGGGAAAGTGAAACGGGAGATGACCAGATGAGCCCTGGAGGAAGAGCAGCCTGTGAGGGTAGGAGAGAGCGAGCATTTCACAGGGCGGCATGCAGAGGTGCTGGAGGTGAGGCTGGAAAGCAGAAGCCATGCCAAGCACAACCTCAGAAGCTCCCTGCGCCTACAAGGGCACTGGCAGCCCTGTCTGACTCTAGTTCCAGGGGGTCTGGCGCCCTCTTCTGGCTTCTAGAAGCACTACCTGCACATGGTGCACAGACACCCACAGGCAAACTACTCATAAAATAAAAATAAATAAATAAAAACAGGGAAGGGGAGAGGAAAGGGTGGTTGCTGGAGTACGAGGATGGACATGTTGGTATTTACAGCCTTTGACTGTTTGGCGCCTCTCTGAGGAACTTTCACCCCCACAGAGAGACTGTTAGTGTTCCATGTTTTTATACTTGTCCATAAAAAGGGCAGGGTTTTTCCATACCTCGAGAACCAGGGATATGAGGCGTCACCTTCTTGGGGATAAGTAAAATGAAGAAAGAGAAGCATTGGATCCCTGAAGGAGGACACAGTGGCCATTGCTAAATGTCCCCAGATGTCAGTGAGATGGGGGCTCAGGAGCAGCCCCACCGGTTAGGAGTTCATTGACTAGTCTTCAGGGAGAGGGAGCACAAAAGGTAGGTGACACAGGCCTGGGGGACTGTAGCTGTGGAGGCCTGTGGCCAGAGGGGCGCCTGGGGAGACTTTTGTTGAATTTTCTCTTAAAACAGAAAGATGAAAGGGTTGGAGAGGTGGCTCAGTGGTTAAGAACACTCACCACTCTGTAGAGGACCTGAGTTCAGTTCCCAGCACCCATGTCAGCTTGTGACCGCCTGTAACCTCAGGGATCTGAAACTCTCCTCAGGCCCCTGTGCACACCTGCACACACGTGTGTGTATATATGCAGAGGCGCGCACACACACATATACACGCACACATATATACACGCACACACACATGAACAGAAAGATTAAAATTTCTGACTAGAAAGGAGCTTGAAGATGGAGAGTTTGGCACAGTGGAGAGAGGCCCCTGTGCACATGGGAGAGAGATACGAGGCAGAGGAGAGGTGGCCACACTCGCCCTGGAGAAAGGGACTCCTGAGATGGAGGGACGCAGGTGTGCCATGGAGCATGAGGTCTAATGAGGATGTGGAGTACGGTGAATTCTGTCTTGAAGGCAGTCTAGTGTCTGTAGAAGGAGGCCGGGCCAGCCTGCTCTGAGGGATTTGGGGGAACTCCTGAAGTACTTGGTCGACCCGTAGGAAATTACTTCTTTTTGGTGTACCCTCTCTCACACACAAAATGTTGCATTGTCATAAAACTGTTTTCAAGCCGGGGACAATTACCATCAGGTAGATGGAGGGCCTAGTTACAGCTGAGAACCATGGACATATGACAGGTCTGGACTGTCACGGTCATCATCCAGACGCTCCCAGTGGGGATGATGGACAGCATGCCAGTCAGAGAGTAGGGTTTTGATAGGTCGCTGGGTAGGAAAGGAAACTGGACAAGGACATCCAGATCTGATGAGATAGACTGTGGAATCTAAAATGCTGGGAGGAGCTAGAGACGTAGCTGCCCACAATGACTGACTGTGCACCTCCTGTGTGTGGGGGGCCCTTGGTTTGATCCCACCATCACCATAACTGAGTAAAGAAAGGGAGACGGTCACACAGGATGACAGCAGATGAGATGCCGCGCAGGGATAGACAGACACACCCAGGGAACGCTAGATCTAATACGATTAGCTTGACCACAGAGGCTTCCCACGCGAGTGGCCACAGTCTGGGAGGTTTATGACCCATTGCTCTCTGGAGGCAGTGTGGAGCTAGGGGGACGGACAAACAGTACTGGGTGACTGTGACTATGGACATCCTTCCCCTGGAAAGAGACAGAATGTGGGGAGAGGAGGGTGTGGTGGCGGCACCATCCAGGGCGCAGAGGCGAGCAGCAGATCACTGTGTGAGTGTTCTGGGCTCTGGGAGGACTTCTCTGTACCCATGACCTGGGGGAGCATGGCGATGCCCTTCTCCCCTCCGATGTGCCCGGAGATACAGAAACTTTCACGGAAGATGTTACTGTGTTAGAACAGTGTTAAGGAAGGAACCCGTGCCATTACCAAGTGGTTTTTGGTTTTAATTGTTTTTAGCATACTAAAGCATTATTATGTAGACTCAAAGCTTCATTATTTTGTTGGCCAAAGAAAAAGGTCCCTTTGTTTTTCAGATGTCAACAAGTTTTAAGATGTTTCTCGATAATTGGAATATCCAGACAGCTCTTTGGCTCAAAAGGTATGTTCCTCCACGAGTCACCCTTGGGCACGCTCTGACATCAGGGACTTGGGGTTGAGCTTGCTGACTTGACGGTCTTCGTTGTCGGTATGTTGAATGCCATTGTGGTCTTGGTTTTACCCAAGGTTATGCCATTAGCATCCTCCAGAGCAACAACACACTACCCATCACATCGAGTCACGCACATTCCCATGTGGGTGCATCCACCAGGGCAACACACTACCCATCACATCGAGTCACGCACATTCCCATGTGGGTGTCACCTCGTCCTGGTTCAGGCTCTGCTGACGTCTGGGGTAGCCAGTGTTCTCTGTAGTTCTTGTGTCCTGGAGATTTAGTATTAAAAACAAACTCAACCAGATGGTGGTGGCGCACACCTTGAATCCCAGCACTCGGGAGGCAGAGGCAGGTGGATCTTGTGAGTCCAAAGCCAGCCTGGTCTACAGAGTGAGTTCCAGGAAGGCTACACAGAGAAACCCTGTCTCGAGAAACAAACAAACAAACAAACAAAAAACCCACATAACCAACCAATCCCCAGGCTTGCCCTGGATTTCTAGGACTGACTCAACAGCTCTTTATATGTTGGGCACAGGACACGACCAAAAGACCCAGTCCCCACTCCATACTCAGAACTCACAGTATCCTTAAAATTACAGCTGGAGGCTGCAGAGTTGGCTCAGCAGTTAAGAGCACTCGCTGCTCGTGCAGAGGTCCTGAGTTCGACTCTCACCACCCACAAAGTGGTTCATAACAATCCCTAACACCAGTTCCAGAGGATCTGATGCCTTTTTCTAACCTTGGCAGGCACCAGGCATGCATGTAGTAGACATACGCGCATGTGGGTAAGACATTCGTACACACAAAATAAAGGAACCTGAAAAGCGACAACCACACCTTACAGGTGTCCCCTGGAATGCATGTTCCGGGAGAAGAGACTAGCCAGAGCACCGAGAACTGGCTGTCAGATGTGTCTCCACATGTGAGCTTGGGTGCCCCAGGCAGAGTAGCACCCGAGATAAGGGGTTGGGAACAGAGTCACAGGAGTGCCGTGACAATCGAATGCACCCCTTGAGACATGCAACATACGCTGTCACATTGCGCCCCAGCCAGCCTTCTCAGTGGTTCTGTCCTAGAATCCTGTCCCCTGCTTTGAGAAAACTAACTGGTACATAGACTCCCAATACCGGAAGTGATCATTTTAGTAGTTATGTATACCGGTGAAGAGATAAGAACAAAGTTTATGCTCGTTAAGTGTGACACTCAGTGACCGAGCAGTGCCCAGGAGAAATGCTGTTTGCTTTCCCGGCTCCCCTAACCCTGTAGGTCAGAGAAGGACCCTGTGGCCTTTGTGAACTCAGATCTGCTCACTCCTCTTGGCTCTCCGTGGTTTCTAGGGTGTGTTATGAACGAGCGACCTTCAGTCCGACGACCCAGACATTCTTTCTCTCCGCCATTTGGCACGGGGTCTACCCGGGATACTATCTGACGTTTTTGACAGGAGTGTTGATGACGGTAGCAGCGCGGGCTGTAAGTATCAACGTTTTATTTTATAATCCAGTGAGTGAATCTCTGTTTCCTTGGCTGTGATCAACATCATCTGCCCAGGAGAGCTTAGACATGTGACTATGCTTGGAAACAAGTGTTCGCCTAGTGCCAGCCTCGACACCAACTACATGCCAGGAGAAGCCATGCACCTGGCATGTGGGAAGTGCCTGAAACATGTTATGTGTCTTACGGCGTTTTCTGATCGAGAGAGAAAACAAAGATGATGACAGTGGGTAGATCTGAGCCAGGCAGTGGTGGTGCGCACCTTTAATCCCATCACTCTGCGGGCAGAGGCAGGTGGATCTCTGTGAGTTCGAGGGCAGCCTGGTCTACAGAGTGAGTTCCAGCAAAGCCAAGGCTGTTCAACAGTGAAACCCTGTCTTGAGAAACCAAAAACAAACAAGCAGCTACCCCCCACAAAACAACAAACAAACAAAAAGAATGGGTAGGTCTGTTCTTCACAAACATTTGTTTCCTGCGGGCTGTAGCCCTTGGGTCCTCTCTCAGTTGAGAGTGGAGTTTGACCACTCCCAGAGAAGGGGATGGGCGGTTCCCAGTGGGAGACCCTGTGGCTGTGGTACCATCCTGTAGAGTATGTGCTGGGGGAACCTGGAACAGCTTGGGAAAACAGGTGAGATAGCTTCTTCATACTGTGGGAGAGGAAAGGAGGATAAATTGGTGTAAGTATTTGAAAGTCAACAAGAGGGAAGTCCTGTGTCAAGAAGTACGTTTAACAAGCTTATTATAATGCCTTGTGGGTAAAGGAGCTTCATCTAACAAGCTAGCAGATCCTCATTTCGATGGACCTGAGGGAATAGCAAGAAATAGTAACACAGGCTGTGCCTTCTGGTAGTCAGTGCCAACTAGAGCGGAGTGGGGAAAAGATTGTGTCTTAGGCATGGGCATGGCGTTAGAAAAGCTCAAAAGCCCAGGTGAGCTTGGGAGACGGCAGGTCAGTGTAATGAAAGCAGAGCGTTCCTGTCTGTGTGACCAGCGGATAGTTCCCGATAGGCGAGTAGAAGGAAGGAGGCAGGCGGTGCGGAAGGGCCTGAACATCAGCAGAGGCTGGTCCTGCTCTGCCCCTGGCATCCGGGAGTCAGGGGACGTGGGGCTTCTGTTTTGTTTGCTTGGGGTGCTGAGGAGTGGACCTAGGGCCTCAGAATATAGGTGAGCACTGTAGCACCGAGCTGCACCCCCAGCCAGCTAAGATTTTGAAACTTGGGGTGGCATGGTGCAGTCATGCTGGAGGGAATGGGCTCTTTGGTAATAGACAGAATGGATCAGAGAGAGCTAGGCAAGAGGCCCAAAGTGCCAGGACTGGGTTCTAGCCACCGGGAATCGTAACCAGTCACTGCCTCAGTTCTGAGGAACCCGAGTGGCATCTCTATAACCAAGGCCATGCTTCCCCTGTGGAAATGTTACAACACTCAAGACATAAAAGAAAAGAAAGAAAAAAAAAATACAAAACATGAGGCATCTGGTAGAAATGGGAAATTTGTTTGATTAAGTTTGTACAGTTCAAAACCGCAGCATATGACTATTTTCAACTGGGTATGTGGCTGAGTATGCTTGCCTAGAATGCACAAGTCTCCAGCCCTGAAACATACAAACACACACACACACACACACACACACACACACACACACACACACACACACACACACACACACAGAGAGAGAGAGAGAGAAACAAACCTTTTTGAGAGGCCCTCCCAGCTCCCCTCAGTGAGGGGTGTGTGTGGTCTCTGTTTCCGTGCCTGCTGTCTCACCAGAATTGAGGTCAGAGATCCTTCTGGTCTTCCACACACTCAGAGGCGAAGCCAGAGTAGAGCTGCCTCATTCCTGAGTGAGAGGAGAAGCCGGAGACCCAGTGAAGGCGGCACAGTCTCTAATTTACCCAGCACTATTTAAAGAGCTCTGTTGGTGTCCATTGCTAGCTCTCTTGGGAAGCTTCATTTTAAACAACTTCACACCCACAGAAAAGCTCCAGAGAGCGCCCCCAGACCCTGTGCACAGTCCACCGTTTGCCGGCTCCCTTCCCCCACCAATACACACAGTACTGTTGTCGGGACCAGCGCGTCCTGGTGGTGGCGGCGGTTCAAACCCGGGCAGCAGCAGTGTGAGAGCATGTTACTGTACGGGCTTGAAATAGTCGCCGTCACCAGCGGGTTTTGTACATCGTGTTAAATCTAAAGACGGAGCGAATGTTCTTGTGTCTTTGTTTCTTTCCAGGTGAGAAGTAACTTCAGACATTATTTCATTGAACCCCCTCAGCTGAAGTTGTTCTATGACATCCTCACGTGGGCAGCGACACAGATAACCATCAGTTACACGGTTGTCCCCTTTGTGCTTCTCTCTATAAAACCGTCGTTCACGTTTTACAGGTGAGCGTCACTCTTCAGCCGTCGGGAGGGGCCGGCGTGTTCCCAAAGAAAGTTCCGTACTAACTGAATAGAATAAGAGAAATTGTCTTAGTTACGCTTTCTGTTGTTGTGACAAAACACCATAACCAAAAGCAAGCTGGGGAGGAGAGGGTTTATTCGGGTTACATTTCCACAGCGCTGTTCATCTTTGAAGGAACCTGGAGGCAGGAGCTGATGCAGAGGCCATGGAGGGGTGCTGCTTACTGGCTTGTTTCCATGGCTTCCTCAGCCTGCTTTCTGATAGAACCCAGGACCATCAGCCTAGGAATGACCCCACCCACCATGGGCTGGGCCCTCCCCTACTGATCAATAGTTGAGAAAATGTCTTACAGCTGGATCTCGTGGAGGCATTCCGTCCACTGACTGGCTTCCTCCTTCTCTGATGATTCTAGCTTGTGTGAAGTTGACACAAAACCAGCCAGTACAGACACAGGAAGATAATACGGCAGCCGCTTTTCTGCCATTTAGTATATTATCAATTACTTCTTAGTCCTAAACCAAGCAGTCCCAGGTTCCTTCATGGGGCAGCTTGTCCCTCAGTGGCACCAGCAGAGGAACGCACCCCCAGCTCCAGAAGACTTAGCTGTCGCCTGAGTGTCCAGAAAATGGCCAGAAGAGGAAAAGGGGGGATGCTTTATCAATTATTAATTAACTGGATTTTCCAGTCAGATATTTTCACTTCCTGCCTCCACCTCCTCACTCTTCTCCACGTGGCTGACAGCTGAGATCCTCTGTATTTCAGAAGTTGCTGTCTGGAAGTCCATGCTTTTCCTTAATCTTCCATCTCCTCTCTCTGCTCCACCAGCGTCCACTTCTCCCATGTTAATGAGATCTTTGCAATCAGAAGCTTGATTCTCTCCATTTCTTCATTTCTGTGGGATTCCGTGACTTGGCACAAGAGTTTGTGGTCAAAGAATTAGACTCAGACATTAGGATCCAGCTTGATAGTCAAACAGGAAAGACAAACATTGGTTAAAGTGTCCATTTTAACAAAGTTGATTCCCTTTAAAATGTGTTGGGCTGTTGGTTGGGTTGTCTGTCCCATATTTTTTTCCTTCGGTCACTTTGAACTTTCAACTTTGGAAGCAGTTATGGTCCCATCAGACTGATTTTCTGGTGATTTCTAAGATATGACCTGTATTTTTGGAAGTCGCCATCACACAGTGGTTGTTACTTACTGCTCACGTTGTTTTGGTCTTTTAACTGAGTGACAGTGGGTTTGGGGTAGGCCAAGCAGTGACTGGACTCGACCCTTGGCTGTCCAGGGTTCTCTGGTAACTCCATATGTAATTTTGTGGCTACGTTCAGACTGATGTCTCTGTTAATAAACACCTTTCTGTTTTGTCCCATGTAGCCTCATGTCCCTGACAGAACACCGGAATGTATCTAGGTCTATACTCCCGAGCTGGGGGCAATGCTGCAGTTATCCACACCCCGTCGTTAGGGCCCTGGGTGTTGGCAAAGGTGTGGCTGGTAAACTGTCACCCTTTCCTTTCAGCTCCTGGTATTACAGCCTTCACATCTGCAGCATCTTAGTGCTGCTCTTGCTGCCTGTGAAGAAGTCTCAAAGAGGAAGGAGCACACCGGAAAACGTTCAGCTCTCATGGGCCAAAAAGTTTGACGAAAGAGAAAATTCTCTGGGACAGAACAGCTTTTCCACGACAAACAATGTTTGCAATCAGAACCAAGACACTGCCTCTAGACTCTCGTCACTGACACAGTGACTGGGGGAGCGCGTGATGGCGGTTTCCCGTCTGTGAACAGAAAAACCAGTCTTGACGCCTTTCCAGAGACTGACTGGGTGGAAATGGGACAGTCTCAGTTAGGGGATTTCCTGTACACCAGATTGGAAATGGAATGAAATAACCCTCCCCATGCCATGTTCCTGTGGGTCACGCCTTATACAAAATCTTTCCATATTTCAATAGGGCACTCTGACCTCAGCATATGCCCTCAAGGTCATGTGTGTGCCCTGTTGCTGAATGTACATTGCGTATCCCAAGGCACTGAAGAGGTGGGAAAATGATCATGTCAATCCGGATGATTGACAGGTTAACTTTTTCCAAATGAATGTCTTGCCTTAAACCTCCTGTTTCCTACAATGTTGTTCCTGGATGGTATTTTCCAGGTGAGGAGACGATTTCAATATCTGATGTGGTGTGCTGCAGAGCGGGATGGAGGAGGATTTTTAAACCGGATATTTAAGATTGTGGGTACTTGAAAAATGCAATAAACATCTCAGTATTTGAAAGGTTTCTTAAGGTAGCTCCGAGGACTGCACATTAGAAGAGTCAGCAGTCAGGGCTGTCAAATTACAGGTAGCTTGTTTTGCTGGGAGCTTAATCACCTGGAGTCGGTTAGGAGGCCCTTTCAGGAGGACTTTCTAAAACATAATTAAAGGTTGGCAATGTGATATTTTAGGGTTATTTTCTTAAGAAAAAAAAAAAAAACAAAAACAAAAACTAAGAGGGCAGATGAGGTGAGCAGGGCCAGAATGCAGAAAGCACCGTGGGGTCCGCAGCCAAAGGCAGAGGGCTTCCCCGCTCCGTGTCCAAGATCAGTGTGATTGTGCGGGACACGAGAGTTCAATCCGTTGATAATACTGTGGACTTTCTGGAGAAATTTCTCGAGCATAAATTACATAGAATTAGAGGAGATTGTAAGAGTAACAGTAGTAGGTTATTTGAAGATTTTGAAAGAAATCTCTAGGAATTAAGGGTATTGTCTGGTTCATTGGTTTCTTGTCCCTGTCATGTTCGTCGCTATTTGGGGAAAGTTTTAGGGAAAGAAAACTTAGTTGCTGAGTCTAAGTGACACTTTTTTAAATTAATAAATTAGTTTCTACATTCTTTAACTCCACGCATTAAAATTCTTCCATTAAACTCGTGTGAAAATGGGTGTAAGAGTCTATCAAAACAAATACATGTTTTCCTCTTAGGGGCTGCTCTTGCCTTGAGTGACTGGGTGTGTCTTTGACCCAGTAGCATCGTGCTGTGGGATACAGCAGCTGTAAGCATGTAAGCAAGGGGTGGATTTGAGGCCGTGGAACTGAGCCATGGACTGTAGGTTCTGCCTTGTGAGAGACAAAGGCTGGGCTTTTGAGCCGCTCTGTTATTTGACCAATCTTTTTATGAAATTTGTTTTGGTTTTGCCTTAAATTTTCAAATGAAATGCAAATTGTCAGTCTACGATGAGGTTTTTGGTTTTTGTTTTTTGGTCACTAATACACTTGGGAGTGAAGTTAAGGAGGAACCAGCAGTGGTGGGGTAGTTTAAGATTTCAGTGGAAGGAAAAGGTGCAGCGGCCAGTGTGGCGTTCTCGGACTTTGAGGTATGTGTGGCACCTTCGCTTTTCCCAAGGTGGGTTGTTTACCTCTGACGAGGAGAGTCCTCCCACTGCCTCTCCCAGGGAAAGGACTGGTAAAAACTTTTTCATAGTTTGCCGAGGTGTTGAAATCCACCTCGCTGTAGAATTCGAGAGGAAAGAAAAGAGTGTTTACGGAGGGTACCTGCCCCCAAATGTCTCTGCGATTTCGTGAATACCGTGGAGAATCCAGTCACTATTAAAGACAACCCTAGGCATTTGATAAGGGAAGGCTGGAGAGCCGGTAGAAACTGCTGAGGACTTGCTGGGTCTACCCAGAACTTACCCATAACCCCCATCTATTTCTGTTACCCGAACACATTTTATTTCTGGGCCTGTACACTCAAGTGGCTGTCGCTTGTTTCCTCTCAAAGAATTTATAATCATAGTACTATCATCCAAAAAGCAAGACAATAACCGTTGTTCTAGTTCCCGGAAGATGATGCACGGAACATCCAATCTGACCGATTTCTTTTTTTCATTCTTCTACAGCTACTAGTTACATTTATGAGATCATTTTTTTTTTAATTTTAGATGGCTGTCTTCTAATTTGGAGAAATAATCATGATTATGCAATCTAAAAGAAAATAAATCAAATTCTCAATTTTTCTCAAAAAATCATGTTCTAGAAAATGAACGTCTGGTTGGAATATTGTGAAGATTATTTTGCCTCTTATTTAGAAGGATTTAGGGTAATGTTTGTGCTACTGTTGAGTGTGAAGGAGGTCATTATAATATGTGCTTGCTGTGTTTAACCGGCAGAACAGGTTTCAGTGTGTGTTGATATGATTTTTCCATCCCTCCATGAAGTCACTCCAGAGAGGGTCTGTCTACATCATATTTATACTTCTGTTTGATTATATACTACTCAGGGAAAATAGAACAAAAATATTCTTCCCTCGGTTTCATTTTCTTGAAACAATAATTGTTAATTTGATGTGTCTCAGCTCACTGTTTTTAAAACAATGCATTTTAATCAGAACTCAGAGTGACTAGGGAAGCTTGCTTAGCTTCTGGAGTACCTAAAGTTGGAGAGAAGACTCTCTGGGCTTCAGGGGTGCCCAGTCACTGTGTCTTAGCATGCTGGTCCCTATCACGGATGACATCCATACGGGCATTTCCACACATGCCACTTTTGAAGTTGCCATCTAAAGGGTGATGACAGCTTCCTGGAAGTACTAATTGGCTTGGCTGGTCCATCTGGCTCTTGCCTAGGGAGGCCCACCCCTCACCCCACATCCTGTAGGGCGAAAGGCAAAGGGAGGGGTAGGTTCACAAAGGGAGCTGGTCACTGTTGGCTGCTTTTGATTACTGGAGCTTAAGGTGCTGACTTAAAAAAAAAATGGTTGTCTAGCAACAGGAAGAATACCTTTTAATCCATCAGCTCAGAACGGGTAGTGACATGCCATTTCCCCTCTGCTTTCTCTGGTTTCTGTTTCTGCTGGGTAAAACTGGAGCGGATTTATGCCATTAAATACTCCCTGTAGATTGCTGATTTTGATTACCAGCATGTATCTCCTCAGCAATTATTTCATTCAGAGAATCAACTTATTCTGTATTTTAATGACAGGAAGCAATTTTAAATTGCCATCAAGATAACCATAAAGGTTTTACTTTTGAAGACTAGATTAAACATTTAGGACAAATGCTTTTCCGGTTTAAATCCTGTTCGTCCTCAGTGTTCAACTTGTATATTCATGAGCACATCTGGACAGTTGTACTGATCAGATGTTCCTAAGTATCACTCATTGATTCTAAGAGTTCTAAATGATACCTGACACAGACATTTTTGAGAGGGGAGGCTCGTTTAGAGTGTTTGCTGCGCTGTGGCCACTAAGGATGGCTCACATGCTTAGTTATAAGCCAGTGTTTGGAAGGGTTTCACATGCATAGTTACAAACCAGTGTTTGGAGGGGTTTCACATGCATAGTTTTAAACCAGTGTTTGGAAGGGTTTCACATGCATTGTTATAAACCAGTGTTTGGAAGGGTTTCACATGCATAGTTACAAACCAGTGTTTGGAGGGGTTTGACATGCATAGTTATAAACCAGTGTTTGGAGGGGTTTGACATGCATAGTTATAAACCAGTGTTTGGAGGGGTTTGACATGCATGGTTATAAACCAGTGTTTGGAAGGGTTTCATTCAGGCATTAATAGTCTACCCTGGCTGAAATTTAACACACCCAGTTTACCCTAGGTGCAAAATTCCAGCTTACACTGTGACTGTAGCCCTACCTGCCCTGAGGACCATAGATACCTGTTACACTCCACTAGTCGCATCTGAGGAATGGCTGATCATTTATACACTTGCCTCTGATGCTTAATCTCGGCTTCCCACTGCCCTTGGAAAGGTGAGTTTGTCTCAGAGAGGCCTCTGAATGCGGAAGGAGGGGATTTGCCTGGAGAAACAAATCCACTCTGAATTTTGAGTCTGATGGATCAGAACGTGGCAGTTCTCTACAGCGATTTTTCTGTAACACCGTGTAGTCAAACCTATTTATAGTGACTCTCCTTCTGGAAGAAAATTTCAAACGACATTTTCCACGTTGATATTTTGTAGGATTGCTCTTCTACTCAACGACTTAAGCTGCTTTCTGAGGCTCTTGTTGTACAGAGAGTGCAGCCAGTGACATTTTAATTAGTAGGCTGCTTAATACTGTTTTGTATGTTTTCAGATAATAATTTATTTTAATAGGTTTTTAACACAATGCAAACTCCAGTGAAGAGCTGACGAGACGCTCCATAGGTCATTGATCGGGGAAACCTTGTCCAACAGACCCTAACGGCACATTTATACGCCAGCTAATCTGTCTTGCCTTTCAAACGGGTGGTAACTACTCTTAATGCCATTTTTTATAAAGCAGGGGACAGCCTGTCTGTTCTACCACACTTCAAAGACCGATGTGCGACCACTGTCTGAAACCGGTCCCGTGAGACATAGCCAGGCCCAGTTATGTTTTCTTCCATTTTGCTACTGTAACCAGCGACGGCATATAATGTAAAGCCAAAAAGTTACAGAGTAAGGGAAGTAAGATGACTGAGAATCTCTCCGGCGGGCGCATGCCTGGCATGGAAGTGACCGGTTACTGCCTATTGAGATCATTGCAATCTCTAAGCCGCCGCTGCTTCCTGCACAGGCTCTGTTTGGGGTTAACCTCTTTGAGAGACTGATTTGTTATTGGTCTTCTCCGTCCTCTGGTGGGGCCGGGGGGGGGGGGGAGGGGGGGGGTGGAGGGGGGGAGGACACGTGTAGAGTGTTTGACAAACTTTTAAAAATGTGTCTCTTTCCCCATTTTCAATGTCTTTGGTTCTGTATCCGCCCATCTGTCAGTGAAGTCCATTTGCTGCTGACTTGATCACACACACCAAGGCTCCTTCCTGTGTTGACTGAAAATACAGTCTCGTCTGTCTTTTGTCACTTTTATGTACGTGACGGCACCTCCACACCAGAAGGAGCGTCACACGAGGTGACAGGAATGAAAGGGACACGGATCCCTGGGACGTGGAAGTCCCATCGCGTCAGGCTGAAGGTGCCTGGCTTCAAATCTGCCTTCCCTTCCGGCTGAGCACTGGCAGGGTCCTCCCGACCCGAGAGGAGCCTCAGCTCCCACTGCCTGTGCTCACACTATTTCCCTTTGTTTTCCCAGGTGGAGGAGAATATCGTGTGGTGGTCTGTGCTTTTATTTTGTTTTTATTATTCCGAAATATTTTTTTAAAGGAGTGTTATTTTTCATCCGATCCACAAACCAGTTCCCATTGTACGGTGAATCGAAGCCATCACTGTGTGGGCTAAGCCGCGCCGTGATGACTCATGGCCGTTCTCGTTAGCCCGTGTCCTCAGAGCTGCACGGTGGCTTATTGCTGGCTTTTAAAGGTGTTTTTAACTTACATGTTATTTTTTTCCTCTTATTTGTGTGTCTTTAAAACTGATTAAACAGTAGTTTAAAAGAACCTGTGTATATGTTTGCTTATTTCAGAGGTAAAATCCGATCTATGGGTAGATGAACCCAGTGCCAGGATCCCGTGAGCAAATGCTTTTGGTCATTGATTCTTCAATTATTTAATTGTTACTTCAGTTTAATTTTTACTATGTGTAGGGAGGCACATGGGCCATGGTGCTTGTATGGCCAGAGGAAAATATACTCTGTTTTCTCTTCCTTTATGTGGGTTGTGGCCATTGATCTTGGGTCTTAAGGCTTTCCCTCTGAGCCATCTCGCTGGCCCTCAAGTGTTAAAAACACTGCCGTCTGTACTTTGGACGGTAACTGCAACCACTCTAAGTTGGTAGGTAGATCTGTAGCCTACAAGAGACTGCTCCTTACAGAAACATCCGTTTTCCTATTTGAAGGGAAGAGCTGGCTCCAGGCCACTGGCTGCCTCTCTTCTACTCCTCATGTCCTGACTCCGTTTTTGCTTTAGAGACTCTGCTGAGTTCTCACTGGATATGCAGTTTCTCTGTCACAGTGACCTGTGGGACCTTCAGTGTGTTCTTGCAGTCTTTTCTTGATCCCACTGTGAAGAACTGTGGCGGAAATATATGAACTTTTATTAAAAAGATCATTTTATGTGTGTGGTGTTTTGCTGACATGTATGTCTGCACTCCATGCTTGCCTGGTGTCACAGGAGCTAGAAGGCAGCACTGGATTCCATGCACTTAGGGTTACAGACGGTAGTGAGCTGCCGTCTGGGTGCTGGGGATCAGACCCAGGTCTTTTTGAAGAGTGAGTGACCTTTGCTGTTAATTGCTGAGCCATCTCTCTAGTCCTGTTACATTAACTTTGATTGTTAATTTGAGATGCTGGGTCGACCAGACAATCATTATTCCTCCTCTGTGGAACACTTGAGAATAGCAGTGTGCCGTCACCCATCACCCACCCACCCCCATTTAGTTACCTCCCAAAGTGTGTATGGAAGTGCCTTGGAAGGCCATGCTTCAGTTCAGCGAAGAGTAAAAGTAGTTTGTATACACAGTTGTTGTCCAAGAGCTGGGCCAAGGAGACCAGATCGCTTCGCTTGTCTTGGATGAGCTATGGTGTGTAGCATCCTGAGTGCAGCCTTAAAGCCCTACCCCCACCTCTCCACCCCCACCCTCAGCACAGAGTGCCTGTGCAGTGGGGGAAGGAGGCAGAGCTGGGGGAGTATGGGTACTTCCAGAAGGGCCTCGGCTCCTCTTTGCTGGACTGAGATGCTGGGATAAGTGCCCAGCGGGAGGAAGAAAGAAAAGTTAGGTCAAGGATTCTGTACTGTGTTAGCCATGGTAGACTAGGAACAGCGGGAGCTGAGAAGGTTTATGCTGCCAGCAATATGCTGACCTATTTAACAGTCACTTTCCCCCAGTTAGAAACAGGAGTAGCGGGGAAATTGTTTAGCCGTTTGCTGTTCAAAAGAAGCTCAAGCCTGTGGGTATAGAATACACCTGCATGACAGCTGTTCGGTTTGAACAGATGTTCCTGCTTTTACCACAGGAGAGTCCTGTTTTTCTCCAGGGCTAGGGAATGGGCTGCAGGGCCTTGTACATGCTAGGCCAGTGTCCCACCACGGCTCTGCACACCAGCCTCACTTTTCAGAAAAAGAGTATTGCTCCCAAGGCCTGCCTGCCTACCCTGTGCTGACTAATCTTTGTCAGCCTGACTCGATTTGAAATCACCTAAGAGGCATACCTCCAGCCATGTCTTGAGGAACACCCACTCTGATGTGGGGAGCACCATGTCACAGGCTGGGATCCCGGAATAAAGGAGAAAGTACGCTGGGTGTCAGCGTGTATCTTCTGTCTGCCCTGGATGGCAGAGACAGTGTGACCAGCCATCTCCTGTTGCTGCCCTGCCTCCCTGCTGGGACACACTGTGCCCTCAAAATAAAGCCATAATAAGCCTTTCTCAAGTTGCTTTTGATGGAGTATATTTGTCACAGAAACAAGAAAGTAACAGACCACCCGTCTAGTCTCTCCCTCCTCAGAGCTTAACAGTGTCCCTGTGAGTCCCCCCCCCATAAGCTTTTAAAATTCACAGTGTGAATTTTAAAAACAATGTTGTTTACTCCTCCAGCCTTCCTAGGTTTACTGAGCCCAAACTGTAGGTTGTGCGAGTTCGGTCAGCTTGTTGGTGGAGCCGGATACCAGCTTCGGGTGTTAAAGTCATTTACTACTGCATTTTTCTTTACTGGTAAAAATCTTGTACTCTGTGTCTCTCTTATTGTTGAGGGATGCTTTGTTTTATGCTTGAGCCTGTCACAGCCTCGAGAGCAATACATGACGTCTTAGGCCAGCAGGGAGCAGGTCTGGAAGGCTCAGCAAGACAAAGGCAGACATGCTGTACTCCAGGGATGTTGTGCCTGGTTGCTGTCTCTTTTCTTCAAAGTGTGTGTGTGTGTGTGTGTGTGTGTGTACAGAGTGCACACATGTGCATTCCAGAAAAGAATGCTGAGTGTTGTCCTCTATCGCTCTCTATTTGTTCCTTTGAGACAAGATCTCTCCCTGAATCTTGGGTCCCGCTTTCTTGGCTAGGTTGGAAGCCAGCAAGCTTCAGTGATCTTCCGGTTCCACCTCCCACCCCATCGCCCCGCCCCCCACTCCACCCCACCCCCTGCGCAGAGATGAGGTCATAGGCCATAGCAGGACACCTGTCTTGTTACGTGGGTGCTTGTTATATGATGTGCATGTTGGGATCCATTATGATGTACACAGCAGGCGCTCTTACGTGCTGAGTAATTTCTCCAGCTCTGTCCATCCACCACTTTTACATCGTGAACACAGGAGCTGCTAGATAAGCGAAGTTTACAATTTGAACTTAGTTGCTGGCTATCTGTGGCTGTTATTGGGCAAGTGAGCTGTGCCGGCACCCCAGAGGCTGTGGGAAGTTGAGCTCTGTAATGCCTGAGTCATTAGCTCCAAGAGGATGTTAATTCACATGGCCTTAGAGTCAGGTTTCTCTCCTGGGGGGGTTGGGAGGGGACAAGATGGCTAGCAAGCCATAGAAACCTATCTTGTGACCCCTGTCCCCCAGGGCTTTACATTGGTCAGCACGGTGCCTCCGCTCTTTTTACCCGAGCCCCTCTTACAAGGCTTGTTTTGGGTCTTTTTGTTGAAGAACCCACTGGTTCCCAGTCTCACTTGATGGCTTCATTTAAGCATGCTCACACCTTGGTATCTTTCTAGGTTTCTGTGGCTGCCGTGTCTTGCTTCTCTCTGGGTATCTCTGGATAGTTTTCTCTCTTCAGCTCCTCTTCCCTATACCTCTCTTACAGTCTGGGCTACACCATCCTTCCCTCCCTGCAACACACACACACACACACACACACACACACACACACACACACACACACACACACATCTTCTTTCCCTGTCTTGCTCAGCCTGTCTTCTTCTCTGTTACCCAGTGGGTATACACCTGCTCAATATCGCTACCTGGAACAACGGCACCTCTCACTCAGCACATCTAAAAGTAGACCCCAGTCCATGCCATCGCTCTGGAAGCTTGCACATTCTCCCGTTGCTGGGATTAAATGTCAGGTCTATTTCCCTGGTTGTTCAAGTCAGAGACTTGTGCACCATCCTTGACCTCACCCACCCCAGATAGATCTCTCCCTGAATCTGGGGCTCTTAACTGCTGAGAGACCCACCCACCTCCCCAGGGTAGGTAAGCAGCCTCCTAATCTCCATTCTTGGCTTCCCCAGCCCCTTCCCCAAAGTGCATCCTGAAGTTGTCTTTTTCACCGTTTGAGACAGGGGCAGGTGTATTCTAGGCTGGCTTTGAACTCACTATGTAGCTGAAGAGGACCTTGAACTTTTGAGTCCTCCTGTTTCCACTTTCTGAATGCTGGATAAGTGTCATCACACCCAGTTTATATGATACCAGGATCCAACCCAGGGTTCCTATCTTTCAGGCTGCAAGAATATATTCTAGAGATTCATCTGTGTATTAAAGCTATACTTTGACTGGCCAAGGGTCTGTCAGAAGGCAAGCCATTTAATATGAATATTTGGTGCTATTCAGCCTTTAATATCTCAGCTGCTTTCTACTATGAAATTCTTAGGTGCCCAAATATTTCCAGACCCCGCTGAACTTCTAGGTTTCTAACTCCTCCACCTCCCATGGCTCTTCAGAGCAACTGACTGAGAACAAAAGAGGTTTTTACATATTTAAGGTGGAAGGTAGGGTGGAGAAACATTCCTGAGGAGGCAGAGAACTGCTTGGTGGAGAGAGAAGACAGAGGTTTTTCTGTGGAGCAGACAGAACGTCGTCATGGTGAGAGAGAAGGGAGGAAGACGGAGGTCCCACAGAGGGTAAGCAGATCTCAGGTAGAATTTTCTGAGGGCCAGGAGTAGAGAGCAGAGATGGAGAACGAGGAACCAGAGGACGAAGATGAGGCTGGAAGCATAAGAGCTCAGTCGTTAGCGGGACTATGAGAGGGAACCAGACGGAACTGAAGCTATGGAGACAGGATTTCATCCCAGAGAAATGAAGTAGACAGATAAAGAGCTTGGTATATCTAGATTTATTCTTGTCCTAAATGTCTGACGGAGCTGTAGCTGTATTGATAGAATTTTGTCTTAGAGGAATAAAGTTAACAGACATAAGAGCATAGTATATGTAGATTTTTTTTCCCTCAGATATCCCACACCTGATGTAGCGAAATCCCCCAGACCCCTGGGTATTCCATATTCCTGCCTGCCAGGCAACCACCCTACCAACTGAGCTCCATCCCCCGCCCCTGGAAGATGTCCTTTAAAGCCACAAAACAGGTTTGGATTTTCTTGCTTTAGAAATGAAACCATTCTCCGAAATAGGATCTTAATTTCTTGAGCTCCTGTAGCAAAGTGCACAGGTGATCCCTGTGTGCCTGCATGGGTGCCTCTTGCCTCTCAGCGCACACAGGCTCACCTTGTCCTTCCTCACCCAGGGAGGGGCATGCATCCCTCTCTGCTCCTTTTGTTCAGCTCCATATACCAAATT